GGAGTGATTGAGGAAGACACCTAGAGATAGAAATCTACCCTTAACACACATACTTTTATACATGCTTATGCATCCCTGCAGCGATGTGCGAGCATGCACGTGCATGTACACACACACACAATATTCCCGTTCCAGGGCTATCTTAGCCTTCTGAAGTTGCTCAGCCCTGGCCACACAACCTTCCTGCGATGTGGTGTGGCTACCCCTGGGTCATGATCTTAATTCTCTTAAATTTTTATTTCTCCCCTGAGGAATACTGTTGAATTTTAACAATAAGGACTATGCCACACAAAGTGGGAAAAGAAGAAATAATGATTTCATTTTTTCCTCTAGATACAACTACAAGACCTTAATGCTCCAAGGTGTTTTCATTTGTACCATGTGACTTTAGTGCTTATTATAAGAAGTATTTTAGCAAAAAGAACTTGACAATGTATCTCGCCAGGGTTCCCTCCTCTGTGACATCGCTTCTCCTTCCCCTATTCCCCCTGCTCCTCTCCCTTTATCATCCACCAAAACCACAATAACCGAATCCTGCCGAACACCTCTCCTTCCCTTTTGACTTTTCTTTCATGACACCTTTGCTCTTGAGAGTTTGTGCAGTTCCGCAGTTTGAATAGCCATTTTATGTGGGAATATTCCAGGCTTTATTTCTGCCCTGGCCTATTTGCTAAATACTAGGCACACAATTCCAACTGCACTATTTCTGACTATTTAGACTATTCTGGGTCTAAATTGGACTCAGCTAGAATAAAATCTGCTGTCTTCTGTAGGAATGCAGTCTTTCCTAACCATCTCTTCCTGGATTTGCTTCCTGCTGGCTTATTCTCCAGATGTGCAGGCCCACGGCCCCACTGTTATTCTTGGGCACAAGAAGAAGATAGGGCTAGGGAGTGACATCCCACGGGTAAGTAGGTAGCTGATGACACTCTCAGAGGGGCTCATGGTTCTTTCGTTGGGCTTGGATGTTACCCAGTCACACCTGGATGGTGGCTGTAATCTCCTGTCTGGGCCTCTCCCTTTCCCTGACCACTCATCCTACACAATAGCAACTGGTAAGTTTTCTCTGGCTGAACTCTCCTCCGCATCACCACTGTGCCCAATCCAAGCACTTCAGGCATCTTCAGATGCCCTGGGTGTGGATGCTCAAGCAACACCTGACAAACAAATCACCGCAACCTAACACAAAGCCAGCCCAGACAACATCGTCTCCGTGATATTTGGATACAGGTCTATTCACAAGCTTCTGCTGTAAGCTTCCCTTACGAAATACGGCACACATGTTACCAGTAGATGTGGGTTAGATGGATTGCCACCTCCAACTGTCTCCTCCTATGGTTCTTGACCACTGAGAAGCTTTTTTTCTTCCTTTTTGAGTTTCGAGCATTGTTTCCCCTGCATCCTTTAACTCAATAACAACGACTGCTACCTTTCATCAAGCACATCCACAGACTAGATTTAAGGCTAAACACCCACACACATCAGGTTCACTCACTCCTTATGACCCTACTTTATGGAAACCATCATTATCCCCCACTTGTACAACGAGAAAACCAAAGCCTAGCTAAATTACACAATATACCCGGGTCACATAGCAGCAGTGTCTATTGCCAAAGCCTGAGCCCTTAACCCTTGCGGCACACAGTCTCTCATCTTTTCTTCAGGGACACCTTCTTTGAAATACACCTGCATGTCTCTACCTAGCTACTTTTCTAGCCCAGCCCTGTGAGTCTCTTGGCACTGCTTGCTGCTGTGGTTTTTGGCGTGTGGCACAATAATTAGGTACATGAACTCTGACGTCAGACTGCCTGAAATGTAATTATGACCCACTAGCTTTTTCTCTCAAGCAGTTTACTTAACCTTTGTATATAAATCCTCTCTAAAATAAGGATTATAATAACACAAACCTGTGGGTACAACTAAATAAAAAAAAGAGCAATCTTCACAAAACACTGGACGTGGTGCTTGGAACACAGCAAGCACTCAGTAAATGTACGTCACTCAAATTCTCAGTGCTTGCACCTGAGCTCAAGTTAAGAGTCTAAAGCAATTACAGGAAAAGACTGCCTGCATTCTTAATTCTGCGAAACCTAGCAAACCGCTCTGGGGCACCTGATTCCACTAAGCTGTGATTTTTTAAGTATTTATTTTTACGATTGGGCTGGAGAGATGGCTCAGAGGTTATTTTTACGATTATCTTTTAGGAAGTGAGCAAGATTACAGTTTTTTGAGGGTGGTGACCAGAGCCAAGTAACGTGAACTGAAAATCAGAACTGGTAAATAGCTTGTGCATGTACCATGTGCCCACAGCCAGTTCACGCATTTAACCGAGCATATCCTGTTTACTAGGACATTTAATCAGACTCCCTAAGATCTGCAAGTTGCAGGAGCTAATGTATCTGTGTCAAGTCAGTGGGGTCATTCCAGTTTAAACAGGAAAGACAATGCCACTGTGGGTGGAGACAGGAACGTCCTCTCCATCCTTGCCTGTTAGGATTCTAACTCATAAGGCTCACATCTGGGCACAGCCCCAGCTGTTCAGAATCATAACCAGGCAATGTCTCTGAATCTCACTTTAACCACTCCACACCCTTTACAGGCAGGATTCCCACTGTCAGCCTTGGGAGGAGGGGGATAATGGACCCACCAAGGAGACAAAAAGAAGACAATGCATTGCAAGGTCCCTTCCAGAAGGATTCTGATTCAGCTGCCACAGTGAAAGGTGTGGACCTTGCTCTGACTTGGGGAAGCTCCTTGGGTGACAGCAACCGACAGCAGGTATTCTAGTCTGCAAATATCCAAACGATGCAACAACTGGATGCACTTTCACAATCCCCAGTAAAGCATCCACCATGCTGCAAAGCTAATACACTCAAGATAATCACATCAAGTCTTTGTTATCTTTTATCTTTTATTCCTAGCTAAGGAAGGGGCTGAAGAGCTGAAAAGATATCTGAATTCTCGGTCTCAGAGCCCCATGAGAGAGTCACTGTGTAAAGCTGGGCAAATTAGTTAGCTTCACTTTCATATTCCATGAAATGTAAGTGCGCTTCTCATCTTTTGTTCAATAAGACAGGATTGGACAGATGCCAGCTTTCCCTGTGGCATGGAGAAAGGAGAGTCGCGGGCGTCTTCTGAGGGCACGCAAGTGGTATATGAATGCAAGAGACTGAACTGAGACCTACAGGAGCATTGGCTGCCCTGACCTGTCACCTAGTATGTGACTTCATTCTTGTGCACTGCCAGGCTACCCGCCTGCCATACTCGGAGGTCAGTGCTGTGGGTGAGAGGATTCATTAGCTTAGCGACAGCCCTGAAGAGGGGACTGAAGAAGTCCAGCAAGATGGTCTAAAGCAGAATCTGAGACTCCGTAGGCCCACACGACCCTCAGTTCCAGGGTGCAGAAATCTTAAAACGTCAATAAAACACCAACTATCCACTGAGTGAGTTGTCATCACTCAGGGTTTTTACATGCTTCCCTGTCTGTTTCTTCTCTCTGAAGGCTCCTCTCATTCTCTATGACCTACGAGGACTTGCTCACTGTGATTTTTTTCTTACTCTTTTATCTTTGTACAACACACAGAGTAGGGGGCAAAGAGAGAAGGCTGCCTTTTTACAGCAGATTAAAATATGAGGAAAATGACCCATCAGGTAAAAATCAAAATTTCCCTGCCTTCACCCATTCTTTCTTTGGTCAGTCATTTAGCTGTTGAATGATTGATCGGTCTATGTAGTCGGTTAATTCCTTTATCATTCCCCCCTTTTCTTTCTAGAATAAGGTTCTCTCTGATGTCCTTCAAAGCAGGCATCCAAACCACTCCCTGTTACAGTTTCATCCTTGAGAAATTGTTATTAATATTGTTAGGTATTATTAAGGATCTAAGTCAAAAAACAACACAAAATAGTAAAAAGAAATGGAATTTTTGTCATATTTTCTAAATTCTGGGGAACTATGCACATCCCTCGGGTGTCATGTTATCCTTCCAGGGAAGAGATATTGTCATCAAAAGACTCTGACATTGAGGGCGTGTGAGACCCCATCCTGGCTTACTCTAAGAGCCGGGAAAAACAAAAAATATACCCTTTACCTGGTACCACGTGGAGCACTCGGTGGTATAATTTGGTGGGGGGAGGAGAAAAAGTGTAATGAGGTGGTATAATATTTTAAAACCACGAAGAGCTAATCTTCTCCAACAGGAATATACCCATGTATTCCTATGTAATTAGAAAAAATGGCTCCCCTCTGCCTGCCCAGTGCTCTGGACATAGAGGCAGGAGGGTCACAAGTCTGAGGCTAGCCTGGTCTACATAGCAAGTTCCAAGTCAACTAGGACTATATAGCAAGACCCTGTCTCAAAAAATAGAAAAAGCAAACAAAATAAAAAAAAACCAAAGCAACAAAAACAAAAATCTTCATTGGGCCCTTTAGAAAGGGCAAAGAGCTATGGTGGAATCGCACAGTCTTGCTTTTTCCTTTTTTTTTTTTACAAAAGAAAAAAAGAAGAAAGAAAAAGAAACCTATACACCACAGAGATTTTTCCTACTTTCTACAATATTCGAAGCAAGTTTGACTGGTTCTTCGTCCCAGACATGTTACTGAGCAACACACAAGCTCTGTTCTCCACAGCCATGGGCAGGAGGTCTCTGCACCCCACCCAAGCCCTGTCTGAAACTCCTTCAGGTACTCAAGCACAGCCTCCCCTTGCTCCGGGCCACCACCATGACTGTGTGGCTATCAGGACAGCAGAGGCTCACCAGTGTTCCTGACAAGTTTGGGAGGATTCACGATAAGTAAACCTTACTAAAGAGAAAATCCTAAAGGATCCCAGACCCCCTGAGTGGGCTTCAGTGGGAACTTGGAGCAGCGTGATGATCGTAGGTGATCTAAGTTACCCTGACTGGGACAATGCTGTCAAATGAGTGTTAAAATGCCTCAGGTTGCCAGAGGTTTTCTTACAAAGGAACACGAACTACAGAAATAAAGAAAAACAAAATGTTACCTGTTTACCACTGTTGTCTCCAGGGGTCTGCTCTCAACAGATGTGGAGAAACTTCTGTTTTTCACTACGGGGCCATCGGCCCCGCAGCCTGCTTGGGGAACCTCACAGACACTCAGGGGGCAGCAGGGCAGGCTTCATTGTGAACAGGACTGGCCACTCCTTTGGTCAAGTTTAGCCTTCCCGAGCTGCACTCCTCCTAGCCTCACGGAGCCATCCCCTAGAGCCTCGTTGCCGTTTGAAAAACAAGAAGCGATTTCCTGGTCCACTTCCCCAGATGGCGTGTGCAATTTCCCTCACGCCCATGGGAAGTCCTTCAGGTCCTCTTATTGAGAAGCCTCTCCACTGAGTGGACAGACTTGTTTGGGCAATGCCCCTTGTTCTTGCTTTCCTTTCTCCAAAGGGGTTAAAAAAATTAAAATACCAACAGTGCAAACCAAAAACGCGTTAGCACTTATGAATGAGTGGTTCAGAATACCCGATTTAAACCTTCAAGACAGGTCATGAATTTAGACTGAGTAAGGAAAATTAGAGTTACCCACAAGCCCCCTGTCTGTTGCAGGACCAAGAAATCAGAAGCTGAAACTATCCCAGAGAATGAAGACCTGACTAGAGCTTGAGGGAGACCTGTGCTTCAAACACATCACAGTAAGGGACATCTAGTTCCCAGGGAACCTGAACATTGGTAGATCAAATGATGTTCATTCAATGACACTTCAACAAGGTCTCAGCAACAACGGATTTGAAGGCAAGAAGACATGGAGAGGGCTAGCTGCTCAATTTCTGAAACTCTATCCTTACAAGGTTTGCTCAATAAGGTCCTGCTAGGGTCCAGGAATCTATGTGGGAAGAAAGCAATCCTGGATGGTCCCAAGTATTAAAGACAGTCTTAATCTGTCAGTGCAAGGGCCCCAGAGTCTGACTATTAGGTTTCAAACCTTAGCCTGCCAATGTCTATTCACACAGTCACATGTATATGACTTGATGGTATTGAAAGTTAGTTTTACTGTGTGGAACTGTGATAAAATATACAGTTTACAGGCTTTGTTGTAGTTCACTTGGAAGAGCTAAACAAGCCAGGGAGATGGATCTACATGTAAAAGTTCTTGCCACACAAGCCTAAAGATGTGAGTTCGATCCCTGGAGTCGTGTAAAGGTAACCGGAGAAAATCAACTCCACACACATGCTCTGGCACACACACACACACACACACACACACACACACACACACACACACACGCGCACACTCACGCACGCACACAAATAACGAATTGATAAGTAAAAAAGTTTAAAGGCCTGGGTGGAGTCATGGAGTCTACTTCCTCCCTCTCATCTCTCTCCCTGTTCCACTCTGTCCCCTTTCTCCCTGTGCATTGCCTGCTGACAACGCTACCTCTGCAGGGCAGGCAGTGAATAGTAATCAGACCAGAGACACAAGTTAGGTCACATCATCCCTTAGGGATCAGTTCCAAGAGTCCCAGAAGATTCCAAGTCCAAGGAAGGATGTTCATGTCCTTCATATAAAACAGCATAGCATTCACAAATAACCTACACGTGTGCTCCTACATCCCTTACCTCCCCTGTATTACTCCTGATAGTCAATAAATAATTACATAAATAATTATGGTTCTGCAGTGTTTAGAAAATAATGACAGACTGAAAGGGCCTGCACATTTTCAACACAGACGGAATTCTCCAAACATGTTCAGTCCAAGGTTGGCTGAATTCACGCATATGAAACCAAGAAATATAGAAGAGCCTGTTTGGGCAAAAAAGATCCTGAGCTCCTACGATGTATTATTCCACATCTATGCTCTCAATTGTGTCCTATAGCTCGAACTGGGTATTTTTAGCCTGAAGAAAGAGCTTGCTATCAGCATGGGCTGCTGACGAATTTTTCCTTTCTTCTTTCCTCTCTCTCTCTTTCTTCCTTTCTTACAATGCTCACCTGCATTGGCAGTGGTGTTGTAGTTTGCTCTCTGATGTGGAATGGGGAGTTGACAAAGTGGCTCTCCCTTTCCTTCCTCGTGCCCACAGTCCCCCGTCGTCACTAGGGACACTCTGTGCTCACCACACACTTCACAAGGAAAACAGAGCCTGGTGGGAAATGCATCTGCCATATGGCCCTGACTACAGCTCAGTGTTAACTGCTAATAGAGCACCTTGTCTTGTGGCTTTGACCATCTGAGACACCCTTCTCTTTAATTCTGATGGTACAGTTGGTGGCGAGTTGAGCTCAAACCTCTGCAAGCAAACTATGGGCACAGCCAGAGTAAATAATCCATCCGTTGTGTTACCCATGCTTGTTAACAGGAGTGCCTTACATGCCAGGTGCAACCTTTAAAAGGGAGACCTTCCCGCTTTTCCAGGCAAGAATTTCAGCCGCCATCAACACACACTTTCTAATATAGACCCAGTCATTTTATTCTTCTGTCCTCCCCTTCTTCATCCAAAGTGCTACCTTCTCTCTTGAAGTTTACAGGTGTTATTTTCTCCAAAGACCCTCCTAACTCTCCTCTCTTAATCCAGGTGTTCCCTCTGTCAGCACACCTCCCTCCCACCCCCCCCCAACCCCTGCCCCCACTCTGCCCCATGCCATGCTGCCTCGGAGGGGTCTTTGCTGCTACTCCTCTGCAACCAAATGATCAGCTTAATGCACTGACTATATGCACTTTGAGGGCAGGGACCAGTATGATTTATTTGATGCCTAGGTCCTATTATAGAAGCGGAATGGAGTAGATGGCCAATATTAATAAGAAGCTGCTGAAATTAAGCTGTGTCACGTCAATTCTCACAGCTGGTTCCTCCTCTTAGCAAAACGCTCCATGGCTTCAACTTTGGAACGATTCTCTGTAGGCATGTGTCCCCAGGCGATCTCCACTTTGGTTTAAATGTTTGTATAATGACTCCCAAATGCCTGTCTCTGTTATGGACCTGAAACTCTGACCCATGTACCCAACTGCCTGTGTACCATTTCTAGCAGGGAGTTCAACAGGACCTCAGGCTGTACGTGTCCAAAATGAAATCCTTGACCTTCCCTCCAAATGACCTATCTCAGGGACCTTGGCCATCTCCATCCTTCCAGATTACCAACACCCAAGCCCTAACAGCCCTGCTGGTGTCTCTGGTTACCTTTCTTCTGTTAGAAAACAGTGTCCCCAAGAGAAGAGGTGAAGACCAATAGGTCTCTGCAGAAGACCATTTGAACATAATACCTCACCACAAATCACAGCCAAAGCAGTATACCCAAAGAAGTCCATACAAATCAACTGGGAAAACATTCCCACTTCCACTTCTTGGCCGACTCAACCCCATTTTTTTCAATCCATAACCAGGTGCTGGCAAGCCTTTTGACCCAATGTGGCCCAGGGTCAGCTCTGTTTTGTTATCTTCACCTCTCTGCCGCTGACCTGTCTTGACACAAGGAAGGCAAGAGCCAACAACTAAGCTGTTTTATAGCATACAGATGGTTTTATTGCTATCTGTGGTATGCATAGTCTGTCAGGGTCTGCAGTAAAGGCAGCGGACACATCTGTGCTCTGCTGCAGCCTCCAAGGGTGCAGTCACACTCACTGTTAACACACCCATTCTTCTGAGGCTCTGTTACTATCAATCTCTCCGAGAGTAGGAGATCCCACATCTCATAAGCCAGCTGACTGTAGTTGAGAGCTTCTTCTACCACTTTGTGTCTCCACTAAAACCCCAGACTCTGCCAGAAATCCCAAACATACTCCAAGTAGAACCCTGAGTTGGATTCTGCTACGTACTTTGCCTTTTCCTGGGAGAGGGAAACTTGAGGTGTGGCTCTGTACAGTTGCCAACAGCAAACCCTCACTTGACTTTTACTGATCTCTACTTGGGGGAAGCAGACATGAACCCTCATATACAATTTCCACTTCTCTGAGGTGACGTCATTCCTGGAGGGAAAAAAATGCTGGCTGGTCCTATGGTATGACATGTGTCACTCACATACTTCAGCTATGATGCACATGACATCAGAGTTACTGGGTAACTACATTCGTCACTGACTTTTCCTTCCGGTAGTCATCTCCTCCCCTAGGGTCACGAGGGGAGCAGGGTGATGAAGGAGGTGGGCATTTCTTGTCCTGGGAAGGGATGTTTAGAAGGAAGCTATGCACACTGTGCTGGGGTAGATGCTATTTATCAACAGATAATGTATTCAGTGACTGACGGTATATGCAACCTGCAAACACTGGATTCTAGGTTCAGTCCCTTAAAAGTGCTTCTCCTACGCCCATTCCAATATTCTCAGTTCTTTTCTGAGCCTCGTCATCTCCCATGAATCTCCCTGGGAGCAAAAATACCCAGTCCTTTATAATAGGAATTAATTTCCTTCAAATTTACTAACATGATTAGCATGGCTATTGAACAGCCACATTGCCCAAGTTACCAGACAAATAGGAGCCAAAGATTCATGAGTGGCAGGAGAAAAATCAAAATCAAAAAGAAGGTTAAAGGAAGCCAAGATATCCTAGGTTCACTTCTGCCTCTGATAAAACACTCTGTCAAAAAGACTTAGGGGAAATGAGGTTGATTTTATAATTTCAGGTTAGAACCTATCATTTTGGAGGAAGTCAAGGGAGGAATTCAAGCAGTTAGCCAAATCACATCCACAGTCAACCATAGAAATAAACCAATACAGGCCAGGTGGCGGTGGCGCATGCCTTTAATCCCAGCACTCGGGAGGCAGAGGCAGACGGATCTCTATGAGTTCGAGGCTGGGCTGGATCGACAGCCTCCAAAACAATACAGAGAAACCCTGTCTCATAAAAAAACAAAACAAAAAAACAAACAAACAAAAAAAGAAATAAACCAATACAGTCTTAACACCTGCTTGCTTACTAGTTTTCTTCACCCAGTAAGATTCAGGGCCCAGCCTAGGGAATGATGCCACCAATAGTGGGATGGTCTTCTTACATCAATTAACATTCAAAACAACCCCACAGATATATGCACAGGCCAACTTGATCTAAATAATTCCCCAGTAAGACCCTTTTTTCAGGAGACTGTCAAATTGACAATGAAAGCGACACAGCATCAGGTGACTGTTTGTCCCAACTACTTGTGTTATGGGGACGCTGAAAGGCTCAACCAAGGTGACAGCCCCCTGCTAGTGTCAGAGTTAGAATAGAATTAGCTCTTCTTTCTTTCCACGCAGCTCTCTCAACTTCATATCCTGGTTCCATTCCCTTCAAGCACATTCCCTCATCCTCCATTTCTCGGAAAGAGAAACAGTCAACAGTGGGTCACAAAGGTCGAGTCTCATAACTGTGTCCTAGAGAGGGCAATAGAGTATCTGCCAACATGCATCCCGTCTCTGTTTATTAATATAGATAGTGACATTTTCTATATACATTCAAACCACAGTTCCCCTAATGCATCATTTCTGCTCCCAGGAAGCACCAGGTACTCATTTCCCCCTGCTTCAACAACTCCTAATCGCACACACCATCCAGGTCCCAGCTTCTCTGATGCTGTCAGAGCAGTTGCACTACAGAGGATAAGGACAGGAAGTTCTTTCTCAGACAATGTCCATAACTAAACCTTCCTCATTAACATGTCCGCCAGCCAGCTTTGTTCCAGAAAAAAAATACCTCCGTCTACACAAAGATTAAGAGCATGTAATGCTGTGCAGTTACTTGGTCCCCCCCTAGACAGCCCTAGCCTACAGTGGCTCTCACCTAATTCTACCTAGAGTGATGCCAGAGAGTGGGTGATGACCACAGGAGAATGTAAGGTAGAAAGCTGGCCCGCATCATAGTGGAGCCTAGAACCGAGCAGAACCCAGCTATGGGGAGGCATCCTTTGGCTCCTGTGAACTCCTAAAGGCATGTATATTCTCCTGGGTTACCCAGCCCAAAGGACCCCCACTTCCCATGTGTGCTGTGTCTGTGTTGCCCTAAGTCGGTGCAAATGAAAACGAAAGTAAACAAAACGTAGAAGTAGACTTGTGAATTCCAAGAAACACACATGGGAAAAATGTGAACCAGAGCAGTAAGGGGCTGGAGAGTGATCTCAGATGTATTTATCTATAAAACTTTCTTGGGATGTCACTGCTCTGCTAGGGGCTGCCATCAGCTCTCCAGCACATGGTTAGGGCTTACTCCAGGGGACCTCTCCTCTTCCCTCCCAGACACGGCTCTTCGTTCTAGTCTCCATCCCACTGATAAGAACTCCACACTCTTCCCAGATGTCTTAGGGGTCCGTTGCTTCAGTTCTCTCCCAAGGACACTGTCAATGTTCCTTTATCTCTTGCCTCTGAGTTGCAATATTTCCAGATGCAGGAAGAAGGTCACTCCTATGTGATGGAGGGGCCATTACTGAATACATAAGAGGTCATGCCAGGCTTAGATTAGTCCTGTGGTCTCTCTTTATGATGTGTCCTGACTTTTACTTATTTATTTTTCATTGAAAAGGGGCCATGGTACATAGCGCAGGCTGAACTTGATCACGTGGCAATCCTCTGTCTCAGCCTTCTGTCTGTTAGGACAACAGGCACGAGCTACAGTGCCTGGATTTTGGACTTAATTAGAGCCAAACAGTATCAATAATAATAAAGGACACCTTAAATAAACTAGACAGCTCTTACCAGAGCCTGTACCCTTCTGTGGGAGAATGCTGAGTGGAGTTTAGCATATTGTACTACCACTAACCTGAAACTGTACAATAATGGTCTGAACTATGTGGTGCCGTGGGACACCAGAGTAGAAATGGCCTCTTCTGTTGCAAGAGTGTGAAGAGTGTGTGTGCTCTCATAGAAGCCAGAGGTCAATGTAAGGTATCATCCTTGGCCCTGTCTTACCTTATTTTTTGAGACACGATCTCTCCCTCAACCTAGAGTTTGTTGATTCAGCTAAACTGGCTGGCCAGTGAGCCATAAGGATTTACTTGTTCCTACCCAGAACCCCACCCCTGGCCCCCAGACAGGGTTGAGGGTGCCCAGCAGGGTGCCTGGCTTTCATGTTGTGGGTGGGTGTTGTGGATCAAAAACCATTTCACTCACCCAGCCATTTTCCCAGCCTCTCATTGGCAGGGCTTAAAGCAAACAGAGAAACCTGTTCCCACTGCCTCTTTGTTTCTGAAATTTTATTTTCGGAAACAAGTGGATTTAAATGAAAGAACAGCTTGTCCTATGACTCCGTAGTTTTGAAGGACTGGCATGTTCTATTCTCAGTGGGTTGCATATTAGTGTGAATTAGTGTAGGTCCAGAATCAATTCTATATGAAAGAGCATTAGCAGAGTTTAGAGAGAAGCGAGCAGGTCAGGAGGTGGGATTTCCAAACAGATTTTTTAAAAGTGCCTGAGGGCTGCATGGCGTTTGCACATAAACTCCTCCCCTTCCTGCTAACTCTCTCAGTCACACATGCTGGCTGTTCTGTAACTGACTCTGATTTTCAAACTGGCCACTGCACAGCCCCCTCCTCACTCTCGGCAGCTGACTTGAGAAAAGTGAATTAAACAGAACAGTCCCTTGTTGCTCCACTTGGGTCTCTATGTTTCTGCTTTCCCTATTTTTTAGGACAATAAAGGCATACTCCTGCTTTCCTCCTGGCCTGCCTCCTCCTCCACAGTCTGGGTCTCATTCCCTCTTTCTCTCTAGGCACTAGGATCAGTCCCTCCAGTATGTTCTAGAATGGTGCTAAAGACTCTCTCTTCCTTTGATACAAGTTCTTTCCTCTCCCCTGACTCACTGAAACACTCCTCTGCTCTGGTCACAGCTACCCCTAACCAGAGTCAGGTAAGTAGATTTTTCTCCTACCTCTTCTCTGGCTCCATTGTCAGTCACAAAAAAGAAAAAGTAAGGGCTAAGGAGCTAGCTCAGTTGGTGGAGCCTAGTATATTAGTCAGGGTTCTCTAGAGTGACAGGACTTATAGGATGAATCTATATATATATATGTATATATATATATGTATGTATATATATGCATATATATCTGTATTATATATAATGAATCTCCCTCTCAAATTATATATATATATACACACACACACACACACATATATATATATATATATATATATATAGAGAGAGAGAGAGAGAGAGAGAATGGGGATTTATTAGTATGACTTATAGACTACAGTCCAGTTAATCCAACAATGGCTGATTATGTATGGAAAGTCCAAAAATCGAGTAGTTTCTCAGTCCACAAGCCTGGATGTCTCAGCTATTCTTCAAATATATGCTGGAATCCCACAGAAGTAGGTTCTCATTCTAGTGAAGGAATCGATGTGAGGACAGGCAGGTAAAAAGCAATACTTCTTCTGTGCCCTTATATAGGCTTCCCGCAGAAGGTGTGGCCCAGATTAAAGTCATATGTCTTCCCACTTCAAGATCCGGGTTAGGGTTAGAAGTTGATCTTCCTACTTTAATTAAGCAAATAATCCTTCACTGGCGTGTGCTCCATTTGGAAATTTACTTCATCGCAGATGTATTCAAGTTGACAAGCAAGAGAAATCATCACATCTAACAGGTATAAAGCCATAGGTTCAATCCCCAGCACCACAGACCAAAAGTGGAGGTATACACCTGTTAGCCCAGCACTTGAGATGGAGAGACATGAGAATTAGAAGTTAAAGGTCACCTTTGGCTACATAGCACCTCAAGACCAGCCTGGGATGCAGGAGAGTTTGTATAGAAAATGAAAAGGAGGAGCTAGGAAGAAAGACTTATTTGAAAGCAAGTGTGTGGACCAAAATTTGGATCTCCAGAATCCATGTAAATGCAGGCTGTGCATGGTGGCCTGCCTGTAATTTTGTCCTGTGAAAGTGGAGATGTGGGGGGGGGGCAGTCCTAGATCTAGTTGGCTAATTTGCTAATCTATGCCTGAGTTGTCTTTTGACCTTCACATGTTGTGGCATGCATGGATACATACACACACATATACATATATACACTCATACATATGTGGAGGATATAAGAAGAGGAAAGAAAAGGTGCTTCAAGATGCTTAGTAAGTATTAAAAATAAAACAGTAGGTTCCCAAGTAATGCCTTAAAAGAGATGAATGAGCTCATCACAGGCACACTTTCTTTTACCTCATCAGTTTTCTGCCGACCAGGACACCTGCTGTTAGCATGATTCAGTACATTCAAAAGCAATGTCAGGGTATGATTTGGTTGCTAACTATCTTAGTTACTTTGTTGTTGCTGTGATAATATACACTGACAAAAGCAAGTTAAGTAAGCAAGGGTTTCTTCTGGTTCACAGAGTGAAGAACAGTCCCTCACGATGGAGAAGTCAAGGCAGCAGTTAGAAGCAGCTGGTCACATTGTGTCTCCAGTCAGGAAGCAGAGAACAAACAATGCTTACACTCAGCTTGCCTTCTCCTTTATACATAGTCCAGAATCCTACCCAAGGGAATGGTGTCACCCACAGAAAGCAGACTTTCTATTAATCTAATAAAGACAATCCTTCATAAGTGTGTTCAGAAGCCCATATTGAGATTAACCATCACAATAACATATCCACATTAACACCCCAATCAAACCCCTATTACTAGATGTATGACCAACTCTACATACACAACCATGTAAAATTGTTTCGGGGGAAAGATCAAACCATAAGTTTTCCAAAATATACATTCAAGGGTAGCAATAACAAGTCAACATAGCCTTCTAGTCAACCCTGGAAGGGTTACCCAGTAGTTACAATTGCCACCCCACCCCTCTACCAAGGCTTGTCTCCAGGACCTCTGGCTTTGCGTTCTACAAGCATGGCCTATAATAATACAACTCTCAATTCCACTGGGGATGCTATACTCCTTTCAAAAGCTGTTTCAAGAATGCATTACATGCCAGGCACTGTGAAGATGTTTGCCAGAGACAGAAATATGGAAAGGATTGGCTAGTTATCACTCATATCTGTGAAGAACAGCAATAGCTCTGAAATTCAGTCATGAAAAGAAGCCAAAAATAGGCTGACTGAGGAGAAACCCAAAGTTAGGGGTAGCAGAGATAGAAATGGAACACGAAGCACAAATGAGAACCAAATTTTCTGATGTTTGACTCTTTGTGCTTCTTTAAAGGCCTAGAGATTGAGGAAGTGTAAAAACTGAGAATCCGTGAGTGTGCCTTGGGGGAACTGGTTAGGGAGGTCCTCGTTGTGAGGACCCTATTTTTTTATTACCTCCTGTGAATCATTTAAAATAGAATGTGAGGACACATAATTTCCAGGCTCTACACATGTTAGTAACTCTCTCATGTTCAGAATAGCTTGTTGGTTTTCAAACTGGGGAAAGGCATTGGTCGCTAGTAACTTGCCTATAAATCAACTGAATCCGTTGCCTCCCCAGACTGAAGCCAAGGTTATGCCATTGCTTACATGGGTGTGGCACACAGATATGGTGCCTTTTTTTTGGAGTCCTCTGATGACTTTGCCATTGCCCTACTAATCAAGCTGGTGAACATGAGGGTGAATTGCCCTGACCCTGTGTTTTTCAAGCAGGGTAAGAAGTTAAGGGGAATGGTGTTTGGGATGGCTGTCACTGCTCTTTGAAATGACCTAGCATTGTGCAAACTGATGCCTTGCCCTGTGGAGATTTCCCATCCAGCCACAGTTCTGATGACCTACCCCAACACAAGGAAGGGCCTGGGTTTCCCAGTTCTAGACTTTTCCTAATCACATTGCCTTTGATTTATCAGTATTTGCCTCTCAGGACCATGAAGCTATTTTTGGAGTTGAAAGTTAGTACACAAAACACAGCTACAGATCAACATTTCATGACTATTTCTCAACACACCTCCAGCTTGTCTCATCTGACCTGGAATGGTAAAGTCATTCATATTTTTAGTCTTTTCACACATGAAGGTGGACGGTGTGTGTGTGTGCGCGCGTGTGTGTGTGTGTGTGTGTGTGTGTGTGTGTGTGTGTGTGTGTGTACCTGGATCTCATACACACTCAAACTTCACATTGCAGGTGAAGTAAAGGAGGCAGCAGAGCATGGAGGATTTTAGCGTATTCAACAACCAGACCAAATTCTCCTCTTTTCATTGAGTTATCCTTCCCCACAGCCCCCCAAGTGCTAGGGATTTAACCCATGGACACACATATGTTAGGCAAATTCTTCAGCACAGTTACATCCTCTATGACACTCCCTTATTTTATTTGAAAATATCATTTTCTTGACTAATTATCTAAACTGAAAATCATTAACCAAGAAGGAAAACATGATTGATCTAGTGAGATAGTTAAGTATGAACTAAAATTTGTTCATATTTTAAACACAAACAAAAAGTCTTATGGTCACAGAGTAATGACACTGAAGTGACTCCTGCCCAGTGTCTTTGTCATTCCAGCCACCACACAAACATAGCAAGCTGCTGTTTTCTGAAAGAGCCACACGTAGCCTACACTGGCCTTGAACACACTATATAGCCAGAGATAACCTTGGACTTCTAATCTTCCTGCCTCTGCTCCCCAGTGGTGGGATGTGGACCACTGTGCAGGGTTTATTCGATGTTGGGGTGGAGCCCGTGTTTGGCTCACGTTAAGAAAGCACTGTACCAGCTGAGCCATGTCCATAGCCCCACAGCTTGCTTTTTAAATCTCCATGTCAAATGAGGATCTATGTCATTTGTCTAGCGGAGTCTACTGTCTTTTAAATTAAATAGTTAGTACTTGCGTTTACTTATGAGTTTGGTTTGTATATGTAGACAGCATTTCTATAGGAGGAACTTCCAATTTCCTGAACTTGGAGTTAAAGGCAGTGTTGTGAGCTACTGGATATGGGTCAGTGTCCTCTAGGGAGGCAGTTAGTGCTGTTAACGGCTGAGCCGTCTCTGTAACGCGCAGCACGGTAGGATTAAAAACAACAGAGTAGCTGAGTCTTTCTGTACCTGGAGCCATTATATGAATAAAGTTGTCTGAATTAATCCCAGTGTTGAAAAATCCTTTTTCTTCCCTTGAGACAAGGTCTCACTGTGGAGCCCTGGATGGCCTGAAATATGCTATGTAGACCAGGCTAACCACAAACTCACAGAAATTCTCCTGCCTCTGCCTCTGCCTCTGCCTTGAGTATTGGGAGTAAAGACATACACCACCACCCTCAGCCAGAATATACTTTAAGCAAAAAGACACACATACAATAACCAGAACCTTAGGGAATGTTGAAGAACTCACTGATTCGAGCAGTTCTTCAGAACTTGGAATACCAAAGGCTTTGTTTGCTTTTAGCATCCTTGAGAAATGACGCCATGTGTTTATCACCTTTTTTCAGACTCTGGATCATTTTTTATTGCTTTTAGATACTCTGTAGGCATTTCACTCTTACTACATGCAGCCTGCCCTTCCCACTCTGGTGTCACCAAGCCTACATGAGCTCTTCACAGGAGTGGAGGGAACTACTTTCAAGGACACCTGGTGGTCTTCGTTAGTGTCCTTCTTGTGAACATGGAGCAGTCCTTTCGGGACACATATCAAAGGTGGGTGGAGGATAGGCTTGTTAACAACTAGTAGAAATGGAGAGAGCTCACAGTACAGGAAGGCCACATGAATCCTGAGAGTCACAGGGGTCTACCCCTTTCTCCTGAAGAAACTAATCCTGCCTCTTTCTGTCCCCAAGTATCCCAGTTCCCCCTGACTGTCCCCATCTGGAAACATCTTCCTAACTAAGAGGAAGGAAAGCATCACAATTTTCAGTTCCAAGACCGGGTCACCTTTTTAAAAAGTGTGGTATGCAGTGCCTGGAGGTAAACAAGCTTTGGCTCGGCCTGACCCCGAAGGAAGGAAACAGGAAATCTTGCTGGGGAACAGGGGTGAAGTAACCCACGGGGACAGGCTGTTTCTTACCTCCTGACCCGGTCTCTAATCATGAATATGGAATGACTGCCCCAGCACAGAAGCCAGAGCCTCTGGCAACATTTGCACACCTCACTTAAGTTCAAACGGACTTTATGTAAGAAAACAGACCACTCATTAGGAGTTGCAATTGCCTATACAGACCTGCACAAGATCAAGCTAGGAAGCATTCTAGCATGGAGGGGAAAAGAACTCGCAGCCCCCCCACACACACACCTCGCCCTCCCCCTGCCCTCGCCACAGCCAGCTGATGGCTTCTGAGGAAGGGAGAGACAGTTTTCTTTGAGGGTGTGGTTCCTGGTAGTTAGACCATGCTCCAGTGGATGGTTCCACCCGTGAGTATTAAAGGCAGCACAAAATGGACTGAAAAACAATGAAAAGAGGATCCGAAGGTGGGATAGGTAGGAGAGTGTGGGTAGATATGGGCGGAGTTAGGCAAGAGGAATGGGGTTGGATATAACTCAAATGCGTTGCACATATATATGAATTTCTCAAAAAATTAATAAAAATATTTACATATAAAAGATTAAGAAGCAGCACCAATGGTTGCTACTGCCCTTGTTTGCCATGCCAATCACAGTGTTATGTCTTCATAGACCCCCAGGTCCTGAGGAAGGACCATGCACATCCTCAGTTTACAGCTGAGAAACCTCAGCAAGTAAGTGGTAAGGGCAAAACCCTGAACTGCCTCCTATCCAAGCAGGTGAAGTCAGCTATGGCTAAATTCTCTCATGTGTCTAGCACCAGTAGATACCAGAACACCAGCCCTTGGTGTACCTTCAGGTTCACTGATGCTTTCTGGGCTGGGGACCTTGTTTGGAGTGAGCAAAGAGCAGAAGCTTTTGCAACACGATTAGACAGGAAAGCAAAGGTCTGAGAGACTCAGAAAGGCACTGGGGCATCTAGATGCCATCTCCCAGTCCTTCCTTCCACATCTGCCTGGAGCACTAGCTCCCTTCAAGATCTGTACACGAGACACCGGCCCAGAACCCAAGGAGAAGCTGTAACTATAGCAACAAAAGAGTACTGGTTCACCTCAGCTTCCCCTCCAGGTCCAGTTCTACATCACCGTCTACATCCTCAAGGAAGGCATTGCTGCAGAACAGGGATGTAGCAACTCTCAGCCACAGGCTACCCTGTTCCCTGCTGACCCTGGGGAGTATAAGGAAGCATCCCAGAGGGAGATACTGCGGAACCTATTTCCCTTCTCTCTGTCCAGGCTGCAGTTCAGGAAGTGATTCCCCTCAGCTTCTGATCCAGAGAGAGCCATTTGCCCACAGCCACAGATCTTGCCAAATTCTTGTAACGGCTCTCCCACCTTCTGGCCACCTTTTGCCCAAGGGGAAGCAACTGTGTGGGCAGTTTTCCATGCTTCAAGTCACCTGTAGAGTTAGCTGCCTTGCCTCTTTCATTAACTTGTCAGAGTGACATTTTTTTTTCCTATAAAATCTTGACTGAAAGAACCAATGCAGACAAGTAAACAGGTAATTTCTGTAATTTGTTGAGCAAAAAAAAAATGTTGTGAAGATAACAGAGGTGTGTGAGTGTGTGCATCTGAGGGTTAGTGGTGGTGGCATGGACCTCTCTTTCTTCCCCTTTATGAAATCCTCTGCCTCTAACTCCCCCATGCTAATTCAGGTGACTTTGTTGTTTTGCTCTTGTTCGTTGTTTCTAAGCC